AAAAACGCTGGGTCAGGAGACCCAGGACCGTGACAGAGAGCATATTTCTGCCACACTGGCTCCCTGTTAAATCCAGAATAGGGTTTAAAATTCTTCTCCTCACATATAAGGTCTTGAATAATGAGTCCCAATATTATTTCAAAGACCTCACTATATCACTGGGTACTATATCAAAGTAGAATCGAATGAACAAGTACCCTCTCTATTCCAACATAAAGACAAATGTATGGAGTTAGTAGTTTGATCCGTAGTCTGTTCATTTGACCTTTTTGATGGTTCTGATGAGTTTCAGCATTTCACCTGAAGCTTCCCAAGACCCAACCAAATGTTTTGCTGCTGTGGCACAGAAGATGCCTTCTTTTATTCAGTCTTACAAGCTGGTTAAACGTAGGCACTCACAAAGCACCTGGTTATGTCCAGGCACTGCCAGCCACCTGGTTAGAGCTAGTTCATAAAGTTCGTAGTTTGAGCTTTTGTGCTGAAAAGTTGGATGTGACAGCCACATGTGACTCAGCCCAGTCAAAGAAAACCTTTTGTGTAAATGAGACAGTGACCTCAGTACATGGCGCTGTTTTCTATGTCAGGTAAAGAAGGACTGGGTTGTCTGCAGGTTTAGCTGATAATCTCTCATGATTCTTACAAAATCTTCTCGCTGTCATGGAAACGCCAACGGGCAAGAAAGACCAACAAACACCACCCTACAGTTCCATCCTTTGTTAATTCTGCTCCATGCAGCGATAATTTACATCCGACACTGAACATTGAGGTTAACGACTGATAATACCAGATTAGAAAGTTCATTCCTCTCCACATCCAAAGACAATTTTCTCTAAAGCAGACCATTTGTTAGCTTCCTTGGTTTGTCTTCTTTGGGAGCTGCATTCCAGGTAAAGGTAAGTGAATGCCACATCACCCACATGGGAACAGGTACAGTAACATATGATACTGTAAATTCTATATAAAACACTGTCTATATGAAATTAAAGGCAACTAAAATGTGCTCACATCTAAAGCAAAGTGGACTTTTCTTAGCTGCTTGCACAGATTTTGTTTTCTGGTCTCTGATTGGTTGGCTGTTTGTCAAACCAGTGAGGTAACAGATGCCCTGTCTTTAGGGGGAGGGATCTAAAGGCAGTTGAAAACAAACTGTACAAACTACAACTACACCACATCAACTCTCCCAAGACCTCTGAGATCAAGCAGGACCAGGAACCATGTCCAGTTCTGGTAAATATATTTGAGTTGCATTGAGGTTGTAAACCAGCAGAGCAATGCCATTTCTCTTCCTGTTACTGTTTTCAGGTCTTATTACCCACCAGAAACTTCTCACTTATCACAGTACATCCTACACTTTTATATATTTTAATGCTAATCTTTTTCACCTGCAAACGTTAGCTTGCTGTCTTTGAGTTATTTTAGTCTTGTCTTGTGGACCTAACTTCCCAGCAACACACACATGCTGCTTCAGCTCACAATTACTGGCTTATGCTGATGTTACATTGTTACATTGTTACATTGTTACATTGTTACATTGTTACATTACTGGTTCATGCATGTGCATAAAAGTCTAGAGATTTCTGTCTGATAACTTTATCGTGAACTGACACCAAAAATGTCCAGTGTGGCAAAAATAAAGCAAAACCATGTAAATGATATTATTGTAGAGTCTAACGTCCAGTATAAAGTGACTGTTAATAAATAAACGTGTGAGTATCACAGCAGCTTACATGTTCATTTTTAAGAGCTTTGATCAAACAATAGCTGCTATTTGCAACATTTGACATTGTTTTGACAAAATTAATTAATTGGATGTTTTTTTGTTTTTCCATAGAACAGCTGTTAATGGCTCATAACTGACGATTTACTGAATTATAAAGAGTTCAGCTGTAGACTGATTTCTTTGCACTGCTGAATTGATTAATTTTCTACTTAATGGTTCAAAATCTTTTGAGCTTTTACTAAGAAATTACATTCACTATGAAAGCATGGTTCACTGAGCCTTGATTACTCAATATTAAAGGAGAAATTAAATCTAATTTCTGACGTTTATCAATTTAAAAAATATGTAATTATAATATTTTGGGACTCTCTTACATTTAAAATTGAATCGTATTCCCAGGCCAGTAAACTAAAGTGTGACAATCTTCAGTGCTCCGAAAACATTTGCCATGTGTAGTGAAAGGTTTGGACCTTAAGTGTAGATTTGAATAGTAAATAAATAAAAACTAACCTTTATTTTGGCGACGATGAATTCAAACAACTGGCAGCAAACATTATCAACAAATCAAGTGGGGGAAAATTCACAGGAAGACAAAAGACAGGAATGGAAAGCAAATAGTAACGATGAGCACATTCAAACTCAGGCTTTAAGTACACGGGAGGCCAATGTGGGAAAACGACACAGCAAGGTAGAAACAGGTGAAAGTAATCAGGTAACAAGACAAGACACGCTCACTATCTGATTCAGTCCAGGGGCTGTTTGCATAGAGCCCTGCTGCCCGATGCAGGCAGTGTACAAAGATCATCAAACGAGATGAAATTAAAGACAAACACAATATGTAACTTTTAAATTAAGGTGTTTATTATTTTGTTTGGGTGTTTGGGGGGAAACCCAAACCTGCATAGCCCTGTGTTAAAACCTGACTGCCTCCTTGCCTTGTTATAGCATAAAGTAACAGTGGTGTATCACGCTGACGAGACAAAAGCTAGACTTTTTGGAAGGTGCATCTCCGGTTACATTTGGAGTAAAACTCAAAAGTCCACCTCTGAACTGCTTAAGAAAAGAAAATGAAGACTTTGGTGTGGCCTAGTCAAAGTCCTGACCCGAATCTGATGAAGCCGATTGAGATGCTGTAGCATGACAGTCAAACGGCGGCTCCAATGTGACTTAATTACAACAAGTCTGCAAAGATGAGTGGCTCAAAATTCCTCCACAGCTGTAAAACACTCATTGCCAGTTAATGCAAATGCTGTAATAATTAACACCTTCATTTAGAAACTGCATTTTGTGTTTATTTGTGTTATCTTTGTCTAATATTTTAATTTGTTTGATGATCTGAAACATTTAAGCGTGAAAAACATACAACAAACAGGAAATCAGCAAGGCGGCCAACACTTTTCAGTTCGCTGTATAAGTTGAGAAGTCCTAAAGACTGCAACAGAACTTACATAATAATAATAATTATTATTATTATGTCAATATAAATTCTCCAACAGGGCCGAAGGAGCTGAGGATTGTCTTCATTGGAAAGACTAAAATGTTGACTTCACGAATTGAAGCCATCCTGAAAGGAAAGGCTGCGCAGGAAGACTTTACAATGGTTTTGGTGAAGACTCTGATCCAAGACAGTCCAAGTCAAGTCGACGAGACAGAAAACACCGAAGTGTCAAAGGAAATGCAGAAAGGAGCTACAGCATCCATCTTTTCTCCTGGTCCCCATGTGTTTCTGTTCGTGCAAGAGTGGGAGAGCGGCTTTAAAATACATGACGTGGAGCGAATGAAACTGGTTAGGGAGTTCTTTGGTGACGAGTCGCTGCGTTACTTTTTACCCTTGATCACCCACGAAGATGAAGAGCTGAGACTAGAGGATAGAAATGAAATAATGAGTTTCATTGAGACACGATTTGGGTGTGACAAAGAGAAATGGAGTGATATTGATGTTGGTAGTGAGAAAGTCCAAGATCAGGAGAGAAAGTTAGTGGACAAGCTGAGAGAGGTGGCTGAAAACAACCAATGGGAGTGTTACACAGAGGAAATGTTCAAGAGGGCACAGGAAGCCCTCTGCCAGAAAATGCAGGAATTAGACAAGAAGGGAAGGAAAGATGATGTGAATGACACACTGACCAAATTTATTGAGTTGGTAACTGGAGCGGGCGACTTTAGCAAGTTCCTGTTTCAAATGCAGAGAGAGGTGTCAGACTATTTCAGCAAATACACGCAGAAGCTGGCTCAGAAACACAAAAAGTGAGGATAAAAATTGGCCTCCATTCACAAAAGAATCAAAGAGTTAAGAGCAAGTTAATGAAATGACGGAAGGAAAGATGAGACTTTACTCATGAACCCAAAATGATTGATTCATTAATCCTGTTGTTATTAAATCTGCAGCTCGGTCAGAGAAACAAACAAGATATTTGATGTTTTTAATGCGAGTTATTAATCTGACAGACTCGGTTCCTCTGCACACTGAGATCAAGACAACAAATAATCATGTTTTTATATCATTATTATCATTTGCATTTTGGCAGAAGTGACATTTGGACTGGTTCAATTGGACTCCATCTTTTCCAGCTGCAACATTATATTCTAAATGATTTAATGCAAATACTTCTCTGCTTCTTTTTCCTTTTATTGATGGTGAACAAGGCATAATGAGGAAAAGCAGGATATCCGTGTGCGTCTTCTGTGTGGGAAAATTGTAAAGATTAGCTCTCCATACAGATCTGAGTTCTTTCTGCGCCTCTGCTGCAGTTACAGGCAAACCTGACAACAGATGTTTTCTGGAGAAGCTGCAGCACAGACTGTGTTTTTCTTTTCCTTTGTTTTCTGAAAAACATGTTAAATGTTGAAGCCTGATGGATTTTGTGCTTCCACTCAGTGGACGTGTTCAAAAAAGAAAGATTGTTTTCTTTTTTCATTCCTTTCTATGATGTAACACAGTTAAGATGCTAATGTACGAATCAGTGTGTGAACTTATGCAGCTTCAGTCAGATAATAGCAGCAGAATCACATCAATAAATCAAACATGACTGAGACAAATCTGTTTCTCTCCTGTCATCATTCAGCTGATTAACAAATGACTCATAGAAGAAATTAACTTGAAACTTTGTCTTTTAGTTTTTGGTTGTCTGTCTCTTTGTGTTAGCCGTGCATCAGGCTGGCCACCTGTCCAGGGTCTGCTCCGCCTCTCGCCCTACGTTAACCCCCCGCGACCCTGACGGGGATAAGTGGAAGAGGATGGATCGATGGTTTTTAGGGACCTGAGTGTAAACGTGTCTTTCTTTAAAGCACTTTGGGTCAGCTTCTGTTCATTAAATTTGTTATGTAAATAAAATGGACTCGACATTAAACACAAATGGCTCTAATATTCAGACGTAACAGATTCATTCTTGATGTTCGAGGTATGTTTTTTCATTTCCAATAAAATTATTGAACACAATCCAGTGGACTGAATTTACTACCTGAGTGTCTGGATATAGTCTGCAGGTAATCAGTCTGAGAAGTAACAGCTGTCAATAAACATAACTCATGCTGAATACTTGGCATCCGTTATGAATGAAACATTATTTTCAGCACTGTCGAAGCTACCTGGTAATTCTTTGCTTCTCTGGAGGGACTGTGACAGTGACCTCTGACCTCTGAGGGTGTGCGTCCGTCTGAAAAGTTTCCATCGTTTTTCTTCTTTTCTTTTGCTGCTTGTTTGCTGCTGTGCTCAGTGCTGCTGAGTCACATGACCACAGAGGGGGGGCGGAGCAAGGTGTGTCTGCATTAGGGGAGCAGAGGTTGCACAGATGATGAACAGCAGCCACGTACTGACCTTAGAGAAGGCGAATCACTGAAGTACTGATCCCATCACCCTAGTAACGATCTGACATCAGTACCAGTGTTGTATCAATACTTTAAATATTTAGATCGATCGACCCCTAAACGCACTGCACTCGACCTCTCCACCACCTCCAAGATGAGCCCAGGATGTGCCGGTCCATGTGGCCCATGCAGGCTACGCCCAGAGGGGCTCACTGTGTTTTGCTTGGCTCTCTGCAGAAAAGCTGCATTGCACTCAAACAGCTACTGGAACTGATCGCAGACACACCTGTGATTACACCTGATGGCGTTTCACATGAAGCACAGCGCAGCTGAGAAGGACAGGAAGTGAGGCACAGAATGTCATGGGTCTGGTTGTGGGTTTAGGATTCTTGGTTTGGTCTTCATACTTTGATTTATTGATATTTATGTTTTATTTAGTATTTTGGAGTCTATAGTTGCTGTTATAATTAAATCTAGTGTTAGACTTTCTCTTGTTCCCTCAGTGTTCGCATCCTGTTCTGTCAGCTCCCCTATGTTAAGTTCATGCACATGTCTGCATTTTCCCATTTCTCACTTCCTGTTTTATTTTGATGGTTACTGGTCTTTATTGTCTTCATTTTGTCTGCACCAGCTGTGTCCACTTTGTCCCAGCATCTGTTGCTGTGCCTGGTGTCTTATTCATTTTATGGGCTGTGAGATTCTGGAGTCTGCTTTTGGCTGTAATAAAGGTTCGTGTCTGTCTGCCCTGAGTCTGCATGTGCATCCTCGTGAAGGAAGGCATAGAAAATTCAGTCACTGCTTAAAATCACCCACATTACACAGACTCAGATGAAATGCTTGCTTATAAAGCTCTGGATATTCATCATATCTTAAAGTATCTTATTATCTTAAAACATAATTCTTCATTCTCAGCTCTTTGTTGTTGTTCCCAGGATATTTAAAAGTA